GTCTGTCGTTGCCAGAATCACGATACAGAAGTATTATCGATAGGAGCCCTCCCATGCCCAATAAGTTATAGACACGCGATGATACGCCCAAATCCTATGATATCGTCGCGCTGATGGAAGCAAATCGCTTTGACCTCCACTCAGTCTATAATATATATGGTATAAAACAGCAAATGTTTGCTGTCACATTATACATTTCTCTTTTTTTTTTTCTGTTTATGCGTTAGTAATTTTTTTTTTCACGGGGTTCTCCGGTTCCGTTATCTCGATCCTAACAATACTACGGTAAATCATATTTTAAGACTTGTTTTCTTGAAGAAGCTGGCACTTCTTTTACATGTTGAGTAGATATGGAAATTTTTAGATCTTACAAAAAGATAAGATAAAATTAGAGCAAAAGTGTTAATGTGAGAAAGCTCATGCTATTTTGAAAAAGCGTATGCTGCTTCACAAGGTCGCTTATACAAAAGACGTTTGTATTAAATTGATCTATGCGTCTGAAATTTTGTGCGCATGTGCTCAAGTTGTCAATATAATTATGTCAAAATTTTTTAAAATTTCCAATCCAGTTTTATCGTTTTTTTAAGTTTTAGAGGTGTAAATGTAGATTTGTGAGAACAAACAGTAAACCACCAAATTGAAAGTATTAGAAACATGACGTTTTTGGAATCATTTTTTCCTTTTTTTTTTTTAAATAAATATTTGACAAGTAAATTTAAATGCAAAAACACGTTCGACGCTCAAACTGCCTGGAAGGTATATACGAGTCTTCTTAAATTATATCTAATGAGTATTGATGCGAAGACGATTGAGTCCCTCTACTGTTCTGATTTTCTTCTTCTTTCGTAGCTTAGAAAAAAAATCATTACCTTGTTCCCGCTTTGTTTGAGTCATCTGCGTCGAATATATCAACGAGCGTAAAAAATACACACTGACTTAGTCTCACTTCGTGCTTCATTTTTTTTATCGTAACCACTGAAACAAAAATATTTTCATCGCACTGATGTCAAGTGTATTTTCATATGTAGCATTAGATTAGCTGACCTTGCCTCGTTCGTTTTGAAATTCACGACGAGCGTACATTCCTCGTTGCTCGTTCTTTTTTGCGCGTTTACTTATATATACTAAAAGTATTTTTCCTTCACGACGCTCACATGCAGCGCAAACGCGATGGCCTCGCTTTTCAATTCATTCCTCTCTTGGAATTTTCGTTTCAATTTTGACATACGTTATTTTCGAAACAATAATGTTTGGAGCCACTTTAATTTTAATCCTTGGAAATAAAAAAAAAACTGCAATGAATCTATTTACATTAAAAGCTCTTTCACAGCCAACAAGCACACTGTTCACCCTATAGTAAGCAAGACATTCTTGAGATTGATTTTTATACCTTCCATTTTTTCAATAAGCAAAATAAAGAAGAATAAATAAAATACGCTCCACAGCGACGATACAACAACAGATGAGAGATGATAATAAATACGATTGATGAAATAAAAATATTAGGATCTTTCTGTTTTTGTTGTAAGTTATCATCAATTAAGCCCCTCGAAATCCATAATCACTCATAAATCTTCCGTATAGACGGATACACACCACTGACCTCATCCATTCGGCTGCATGAAACGAGGTGGTAATCAGCAGCCGATAAATTGACCCCAACAGCAAAGGCACACACACTTGATTCCGTGCTGATACAGGATAAGTGCTGATGATTACGCATGCGAATAATAGAAACTGAGAAGGCGCGCGCGGAAAACGCTGCCTTGGCTATTGTATTGTGAACTCTCTCTGTGTGTGTGTGTGTGTGTGTGTGTGTGTGTGTGTGTGTGTGTGCGTGGGGGGAAAACGTGACACACCTACACGCAACACAAGAATACTGTATGGACAAATTGCGTGCAACGATGAATAATAATAGGCATACAAGTAGCGATTGACAGAATCAAAGCACCTCAACAACTCGTGCACACATGAAATTAATGATATTAAAAAAAAAATATAATTTTGTTTATCTAACGTGTTTATATAAAATACAAATAAATGTATCCGCCTACGATAGTAGAACATGTGTAGGAGATACGACTAATTTCATTTCTATTAGTAGGTATATAATTCTGTTAGAACAGGGATATTCTGAGAAGTATACCTACAACAGAACGATGGATTTGTCGCTAACTAAATTACATCACGCGATGTTGATCGGGAGGTAAAAAAAAAATTACACTCAAGTCGAAGGGTCCCCTCCCCCCCACCCTTGTATCGCAGATGCTGTTTATTCGCGTCAAGCGAGTTGTGCGAACGAGCGAAGCGTACTTATATGACGATCGCCGGATCGCCCACTTTTAGGTCGACCGGTTCGTCAATTCCATCAATTGGCCAAGAGAAGAGAGAGCCTCATAGACGACATATTTTATACATATTATACGTAGTAGGTACCATCTCGTTTCTCCGTCCCTTCTTCTCTGAGCCTATGTATAATGTATTGTCATACACGAGAGTAAATGTTTGTTTATACATATAATATATACAATTATGATGCTCACTCACAAAAGCTCCAGTTCTCCTCTCTCGCTCCAACGATTTGAAATCCTCCCGCGCTGTATGCGAAATTGAGAGCGATTTGTTACGCGTATATTATAGCTCCCCTGCCTTGAATGTTAGACCACGGTACGGTATATAGCTTTATTTTTCGATTGGTTGGATGTGTTATTATATATTATTGCTATTTTTGTTGTTGTTGTACATTTAAGAAGTTGAACTTTTTTTTTTATCATCATCATCACTTCGTTTTATTGTACAAGTATATGTACGTAGTTTGCACCAAACTAAATCCAACCATGTGTGTTGCAAACCCGTACGAGCAACGGATTGTATATATGCATACCATGTACAATTATAATATATGCGCATTTAATCCTGACGCTGTTTAACCCTGCACTACCAACTACAAAAATATACAGGAGTGCAGCAACTTGCGCAACACCATCTTCCTCCTCTGCTTTTTATTTATTGCACGGCATCATCATCAGGAGATGTATTTTCTTTGAAAATTATCCGTATCGTCCCACTACTTATACCTACTCCTGCTCGTAGATTTCTTACAATGAAACGTGGAGCCAAAAAATTGATGAGGGCGTTTAAGAGGAAGATGAAGCTCCGTGTCTCTCGTCCAATAGCGTCATATTCCAAGACCATCAATAGTCGCGTACACGCCAATTTTTGCTGATGTCTGCCGTATCTTACGTATATTGTAGTAGAATACACGTCCGATGGACCAAGCATAAGCCAGCGCGCTTCTCGTGCATATTATACTTGTATATATTTTACAAACACATACGTGTACACGCAGCGTCTGAATTGAATGGGCTGAGTGCGAGTGTGAAATAAGCGGTGCTTTCGCGTGGGAGAAAAAGAGCTGTTATAATATATCCATGGGTATATCCTCAGTGTGTGTGTGTGTGAAAGCGCGATAGAGTAGAGCGGCAAAGCGAAGGGATATAAGCGCGAGTGATGGTTTTTTAGTGTATCATACATATACATATATATTGGCTGACTATATTATTATATGCCTTTTGGTATACATATATATCTACGCTCTGTCTCTCTCTCTCTCTCTTTTTCCCTGACCTCGCCCTCGCACTTTTCCTCGTGCTCTGACTCATTGCTTGGCTCTCTCTCTCTCTACTCTCTCTATACATGAAGAAATCTATTGAAACCCGTATTCGAAATTTTTTTTCTCGTATATTACGTAACATTACGAGTAAAGTGAGCCTTATCTCGAAGGTGTGCCTCAAAAAAAAATTTTTTTTTCTATTAAAATAAGGGACAAAAATGGGACATTTTTCTCATATACACACATGCATACACATGTGTGTCTATTTACCCTCTTGGTGGTATATATATAGGAGGTAATGTTTTGCTCGTAACGAGACGAGATTGGCGAGATTAATTCTTATGCAGTGTTCTCTGCTCCACGTATTAAACATTATAGGTTTCGAGCTGGTTGCATGAGGATTTGTGGCCTCGTTTTACCATTATTTGTACATCAAATTATTAAAATCTGATGAGCCGCATCATTGGAAGCTTGGACGTTGTTAATCATCAAATTTATAAAAGGAACATTTTTTTTTTATTTTCATTTGATTTTTTAATTTTTTTATTCTTATTTTATTTTTTTTCTCCAAAGATTGAAGATGTATGTTTAAGTAATATATAAGTAAAAAAACACGCTGTGATGGTATCTCTTAACTCTTTGTATAGATTTAATTTCTTACTATTAAGGTTTTTTTTTTTATTTCAAATTTGAATGATTACATTTGTAGATTGTATTATTGTATAGTCGTGATTTCGTTTTAAAATTTACGGAGCACTTTTGGTTAGTAGTTGCCTGCTCCTACAATGTTCTCCAGCTAATTAAATAAAGCTCATACGAACGGGACGGATTAGTCTTTCACGAGTCTCGGAAGGACACTTTAATTGGGCATTTTTGTACTATGATGAAAAATAAAAATAAAAATAAAAAAAATGTTTGACACATATCCCTCCTCCCAAGGAAAACTGTCGCAAAGCCACATTGTTATACATAAACGTATAGGTAAGCACGATAGCCAGCAACCATATAGACAATAGTTAGCATAGATATATAGGGAGGGAGTCAGAAAGGCGCACGGAAAACTTTAATTAGCTTATACCTACTATGTTCCATTTGGGCCTGCAACGATTGTCCTCCGAGCGATACCCCGCACCTATATTATATCCCATGCCCATCGAAACAACAACGGCAGCACACAATGCCACGCACACACCGTGCAATTGAGTTTCATTTCTAGTACAAAAAAAAAAATAAATAAATAAAATAATATGCTATTACTGTTTACAATTTCGTTCTCCAGTTATCTCGATATCTAAAACCCTCGCCATTGTTGTCTTACCGCTCATTAAGAAAAGAAGAAGAGAAAAAAAAATAGATGTATCATATTATGTATAATCTCCCTGTGCAGATGTCCAGGGAACAGCAGCTGCAGCGGTGAGCCCGTGAACGCCCCGAGAGGCAAAGTGCCCCAGCCCCGGCAGGAGGAGTAGCAGCGACAACGCGCCAAAGGGCCCATTAGGAGCGCCATGCCGCTGCCGAAGCGGGTCGTCGAGCCCGTGCACGTGGCCCGCGGTACCATACCCGAGGACTTTCCTCTGCCCTCGGAACTCGAGGCGGTGACCAATGGCACCCTCGCCAACGCCATCAGGCAGTTGTCTAGTCTGTCGAGGCACGCCGAGGATCTGTTTGGCGAACTGGCCAAGGAGGCCAATGGCCTCAGCGAGAGGGCCAACTCGCTGCAGGCCAGGATAGACAGGCTCGCCGTCAAGGTCACGCAGCTCGACAGTAACGTCGAGGAGGGTGAGGATTTTTTCCTTTTTTTTTTTTTCTTCTTCATTCTCCCATTTTACAATCCATTTACAACACCCAACATCGGCAACTTGCGTGCTCGTTCAGCTCGTCGGTAGTTTTCTTTCTTTTTTTTTCATACTGCAAGCTGATCATTTATACTGCAAGGAGAAAATTATTTAAGCTTTTTTTTTTCTTTTTTTTTTAATTAAAAAACAAAAATAATCTATAAAATGTAACACTCCATATTATATCGGAAACATGACTGGTGGCGAATGGTAAAAGAAAAATCGGTTTGATTCTCTGATTAAACGTCTTGTAGAAAATAAATCTTGCCGGATTTAGGAAAATAAAACTAAGTATACACTGATGGTTCAATCAATCAGTATGAATTTGGTGAAAGTATTAAAAAACAAAAATCTATGCACATGATTTTTTTGGTGTGTATCTACGAGAAACCCCTTACTCTTGATGGCCAATGAAAAACTGTTAATCGAAAAACCGCATGAAATCAGTAAATTTTACACAAAGTATTGAATCAATAAAAAAAAATTTGACTTGTATATTAAAGTATGTACTTGTTTCATTCTTGAAATTGTTTTTATCGTAGTCTTGCTGCAAGACATACACATGAGGAAGGCGTTCAAGAGCTCAGTGGTCTTCGACCAGCAGGTCGTCTCCAGGGACACGATGCCGACCGCGATGCTCGAGACTTATCAACAATGCGACACGCCACCTCCCCTCGACAAGCTCAACGTTTACAGGTACTGTGTCGAATCCCCTACGCAGCATGTACATACTTGGTCCTGATGATTCATTGTTTCAACGTAAATTTTGTTGCAGAGAGGACGGCAAGGACGGCTTGAAGTTTTACACCGATCCCAATTACTTCTTCGATCTGTGGAGTCAGGAGATGCTCAAGGATACGGAAAAGAAATTGCACGACAGAGGAAAGAAGGTAGCGTCGTCTCTTTGTCGATTACTTTTAACTTTGAATATTTATATTACACTCGACGTGTTCCAAAAATAATAAATATTCTTCCTGTTGGTCTCATCGACCGCATGAAGCTTTAATTTTTGGATCACGTAGTAGTGCTGAGACACAAAATAATACCTATGATTGTCAATTAATTTGTTAACAAATGAAACTCTGTCCCCTTGGTTATAGACCGAGTCAGAATATGCCGAACCGTTCAGAGAGGCAAGTCGATGGTTTGGATCTTTGTAGTTTTATCACATCCCCCCCATCATCTTCTCGAGAACTAAACAAAAAAAAAGCCAGAGAAACGTTTTCTTCTTCTTCTTCTACGAGCTGATTAACTATAATAATAACAACCGTCTTTTTTTTCTCACGTCATAATCACTCACATGATTGAGCTCGTTACGCGTGTGCGTTTTTTTTTTTTTTTTTTTTTTTCTTCATTTTTCATTAACCGATGTTTTTTGTCCCTTAATGGCCAATATAGTTGTTGCTGAGTCGCTCTATTAGGCTACGCTCGCTTGTATATAACAGATTACCACTCCTAAGCATTTAGATACATTGCCATCCCATGTATAGAAACTTTCGACAAACCATTTTTTAATCGTTCACAAGAATTTTGATCTCACTCCCTTCTTTGATGTGTTCGAGTATATCACGAATGCTCGTTATGAATCATGCAAAGTGATCATATTCACTTCTCATTTTCATGAGTGCCACATACACGCTAGAACATGAAAAGATTACCATCTTCCTCGATTCTCCCTTGATTTTTGTTTTGCTGCACCAAGGAAATCGAGTTAGTCATATATACATTCATGAATGCATAACGAGACATGCAAGCCTGCCTGACACTGCGACACTTGAAAACCATAGATGATCCTTATTTATTTATGAAATAAATGACTACATTCATTTTCTATTCGAAATAGTTCTTGCTTGCAGTGCCGAATGATGACTGCTTCTTATCGAGTACCGCGGGATCAGTTTATCCCATTGTGAATTCAAATGGTTGCTCTCGTTGGTGACAAGTTTTAGAGCGATATTTTTGCTTTTGCAACCAATTGAATTCCAAGGACAAGCTGCAATGCACAACGTTTTGTGAAAAGTTCAATTCTTGCTGGCAGTAGATTAGTTCAAATTGTTTTGAAAAGATCGTGCACTTAGAGCCAACAAATGCGCTTCTAACCGAGCTTTACTAGATGAAAATCTTAAAAAAAAAAAAAGAAAAAAAAAACATCACGAACTAATCTTGCATAAATTGTAAAAATAGTTTGTTAAAAAATGCAGTCATTTAAAGGCTTGGATTGTACTCCTACAACTTTCCCCAAACTAAGCTTGCACTTTTGAGAGTTACACATATGCGAAATAGTACACTTGGAATGAACGTCCAGTCATGGTCTGTTGAAATATAATTTTAAAATTCCTAAAAAGTATTTGTAAATAACCTCGCAGTAGAAATTTGCTGGTACACACAAGTAAAAAAACAATAAATATGAAAACAGCCAGACTCCAACTTTGTTCCAATTGTATCATGCACCTCGTTCTCGCAAAATAAAAGACGTCAATTAATCGGAAAACATTATATTTCACGACACACAGCCGCACAGGCCTCGGAACGCAGAAGGTGGCAGCGGTGGTGGAGGCCGGCGTCAGAAGCGCCCGAGACAGCCACACAACACTCGCGAGCGTCAGCGTCAAATAGCCGTGGGACACGGCGAGTACATAATGCCCGCCCAGGGTGTACAGTACCGGGCGCCCCACAGCATACCCGACGAGGCTCTCCTTGGCATGGTCATGACGGAGCCAAGGCCACCACGGCCCAACAGCATCGAGCTCAGGCGCAGCTATCCGCCCGAGGAACACCAACTGTACAGTCCACCCATGTCCGACCACTACCGCGCAGTCAACTACGCAGCGCAGGTGAGGAAATTCGTTTGCAAGGCTCACGTGTTTGAAAAAAACAAAAACAAAGGGATGATGATGATGATGATGATGATGATGCATCACGTTAATTTTTATTCCAACAGGTCGCAGGTTACGAGGACAGTGCGTACGGCTCGCACTACGCGCCTGGACAGGCCCAATCGGGCAGCGACACGTATCAGAGCCCCGGAGGTCCAGGTACGCCGAGCAGAGGAGGTAGGAATAGGCCCACCCAGCCCCCACCCGCGCCGCCTAGCAACGCGTCCAGCAATTCGACCCCAACGATCGCCTCGGCGAACAACACACCTACGAGGGGCAGGTCGTTGAGCGCCGGCAGGGACGCGTTGCCACCGCCACCTCCACCTCCTGGGGAGGTCATGTCACCACCCTCCATGAACGGTACGCGCGATAACAAAATGTCATTTCACTCGTAAACACATCTACGTCCTTGCAATTGACGATCGTTGTCTTGTTGATTCCCATTGATATAGGCGTGCTACCTTCGCACATGCTCAACCGAGACAGTCGCTCGAATAGTCCGCTGCCGAACCACCAGTCGTCGCTGACAGCGGTCGTGACGACGACGGGTGTCCACCTGATCAGCCATCAGATGCCCTCGGTGGACGAAACCGAGTCCGCGGGCCAGGATCTGCCACCGCCGCCGCCGACCCCGGATCCAACGCCTCCACGGCCTGACTCGCCTCCGTGTAATATACCACCACCTCCGCCTCCACCGCCACCTCCACCGATCACGAACGGCCCGCCCTCGGAAATGATGGCGCCCATGACCAACGGCGACATCGCCAGGATGATCGTTAACGATCCGCCAAAGTTGAAGCCGCTCAAGAGTATCATCGACGGTCAGTTGAGAAAGTCAAATCCTAACGTGCCCGCGCCTGTCGATCCGAGGAACGACCTTCTCAAGGCCATCAGAGACGGTAAGCAGTGTCTTTGTACTATCCTCATTCGTGTCCGTTCTCGTGGTTGTTAGTGATGTGAATAATGTTTTTGCCTTTTTAGGTATAAAGTTGCGGAAAGTCGAAAAGATCGAGCAAAAGGAGGTGGAACGAGTCAACGCGCTGAACGACGTAGCGTCGATTCTCGCGCGGCGAGTGGCCGTAGAGTTCAGTGACAGCGACTCCGCATCGGAGAGTGAATGCGACAGCGAGGGCTGGAACGAGCACGACAGCACGAGCACGACGAACGCCGCGTGACCCGTCTCGTCCTTAAAGTCCACGGCCACAGCCAAGGTCTCCTGAATCACTCGTACGGCCCAAGTTTCTTGGATTTCGGTTCTTGTACATGCATTTTTTTTTTCTTTTTTTTCTTCGAGCTTCTTACAGAAGAAGAACAGAGAGCGAGGAAAATAAAAAGGGAGATAGATGGATGGGCTTATTTTGGGCCCACCGACCGCGAATTTCGCAGTTTTCCGTTGTTTCGATGGACGTCTGGATGTAATATTATAGTCTGTGCCAGGATTTTGTTAAATATTTACGTTACTGTGTTTTAATGCGACACAGTAATGTGCTTTTTCTGTTAAATGTATAATTTTTTACTTTCGATGGTGAGAAACGGTTTTTTAATGAATGTCAATCCAATAAGATTCCCAATTTTATATTTATAATATATTTAGATAGTTGAGTTCACTCGTTTTATTTAAATGTCTCGAATTTAAAGAATTATTTTGCACCAAATACTGATTATAATGTATCTTATCATCATTCATATATGAATACAACAGATTTATTTAAGAAACCAATATTTTAAACAGTTTCATTGTTTTACGAAGTTGTACGCATTTTCAAAAATATATCGACTCAAATTTATTGGGACATGACATTTTTTATCTACAATTGTTTCCTTTCCATTAAATTAAGTACTATAAAGATACACTTATAACAATTTATACTTTAAAAGGTCAACATTACATAAGAAAAAAAACTGGAAGTAGCTACATTGTTGAAAAAAGAAAACACGTACCTTTGGTATTGTTTAAAAATAAAGCAGACACGAATTAACAACCAAAGTATCAAGGGTATTTATTCTTTTTTTAAATAATAAGAAAAAATATCTATGGCACGACTCTCAGAAAAACGAGTAAAATAATATATCAAGAGAGGATTTGCAAATTTTTTGCATTTTAATGTATTTTTAATACATTTGCTGTGCATTTTAACCTACAGATATATTTATTATTTTCTTTACAATTTTTATATTTATCTAGATTCTGTATCTATAAATAAATTGCATTTTATTCTTTAAATACATGTACATTTTAATGAAACAAAAAACTTTTATCGATTGTGTGCTTTTTAAAGTTGTATTCTTTTGAGTGAGAAAAAAGTAAAAATACGCACAGACAGCGAAATGTCGTCGGAAGATTTAAAATAAATACTTACGGCTTCCATGATTTACGTGTACTCCAAACTCTTAATGAATAACTTGTACTGATTCTCATGGTTATAATGTTGCGGTTGAAAACGTCGAAATAATTATTCATATACCAAACAATACAAAAAAAAAAAATAATAATTACATACCTATATTATGAAATGAGCTTTGAAAATATTTTTTTGCGAATTGCTATATTGAACCATGTACATGGAAAAATTGTAGTAAAGCTGTTAGTACTTTAAAAAAAATATTTTAAGTGTTTTGGTAACACTATTGAATTCGAGAGCACATGGTTGCTATATGAAAAACTCAATGCACCGATTATTGCTAGTAAAAAAACAAAGAAAAAAAACAATACGATTGTGATTTGTTTTGCATCGATGTTGCTGCGATATAAGTTGAAGGATGATTGAATCAAGAAAATAAAAAAAGTCTTAAAATAACGCGGTGACGATAGCATAAAGGATTATTTGACGAAGAAAAGTATATTAAAGATTTATATCGATCGTTGAACTGACTCCACAAATATTGCAAACAGGATTGCTAAGTTACGATAACCGAGAAATGAAAAATATTGAACAAAATGAGTGTTGCTCTTTTATGAAGACGTCTACGTTTCGACGTTTATTCTTTTTTTTTTCTCGACTGTAGGGTATATACGATAAAAACAAAAAAAAATAGTTTTTATATATTGGCTTGGCCCACCTTTCGTTCTTGGGTCTTAAGGATGTTTTTGTATAAAAGTGTAAATGCGTGAGTGTTTTTTTCTAGTGAATTGCGATGTAACGATAAAGACAAAAATAAGGGGGGAATAAAACTAAAAAAGTAATTAATGTAATTCATCGTCAACGACACCTGTACATTTATTTTTTATTTCTATTCTTATCACTACAATAATAATTAAGTAATTCTAAAAGTAAAAGGTCAAAAAAGTGTTGGCGTTTCACCAAATGAAAAAAAGATGACACCGATCATTTGCAAGATATATGTGTACAATATGATATATATTTATTTGTATATCATGATATAAGAGGGATGATCGATAACTCTTTTCCTGTAACATGTTTTTACATATGAATATAAAAGATTTATAAGCTAAATCTCTATAAATACAAAATATAAATATGTATTGAGAACGGCAAACGAGGACACTGTCTCAACTCTCGATAGTATGGGAAAACTTAGAGTTTAAGTATTTTTAGCTAGCTATGTAACTCGCCAATTACACTCTACAGTATTTAATTAACGAGGACAAGAAAATAAATAAATAAAAGTTTAAGCAAAGGTTAAGGAAATTTCGTATCATTCAAAGGAAAAAGCGACATTAATACTGTCGGTATGTGCTAAATAACCCTCAATAACACTCAAAAACAACCATTTAAATGATTAATGTTTATTGCTGTGAATCGTGATCGTGAAAACGTATTAAAAACGTCTATGTGTTACCGGAACAAGAGTACGTGAAAAAAAATGATGTTTCGATATGCTGTCTACAATTGCTTTCTCAAAGCGTTGAGAAACGTGCAACTGTCATATATATGCTGTATTTTTCATAATGAAACGTAAACTTGGCACTCTCAGCTTTTTAATCGTGAATAAACGTAAGTGCTTGATACGTCGAAAAAACAAAAAATTATTTCTTGATAAAACTGTAATCATGCATGTACTCTTTTATGGATATGTAAACATTAATTTAAAAAAAAAAAAAAAAAAAAACTGTTTCCATGTAAAAATTTGTGAGTTCAGAGTCGAGATTTTCTAACAGTAAACATTAAGAGAAGTGATTTAAAAAAAGACGAGCGGTAAACGAGTGCCAGGTGGCGAAAAACTGCAATAACGAAAGTAAATTCTTAAAAAACAAATGATTTCTCCCCTTGCGCAGTGGTTACTACAATAAGTAAGGAAAGGAATAATTAATTGTACTATTACTGTCAACATTAAAAAATTTGTAGTAAAAAAAAAAAAAAAAATCATTGT